ATGAGATGAGATGAGATGAGATGAGATGAGATGAGATGAGATGAGATGAGATGAGATGAAATATGATGAATTGAGATAAAATGAAATGAGATGAGATGAGATGAGATGAGCTGCGATGAGATGAGTTGAGTTTAGTTGAGTTTAGTTGAGATGAGAATAGATGGGCTTTTTCACTCTGTTTTTCATATTATGTTACTATTTCCATTTCCCTCCTTATTTTTGCTAAACTAACCATAAAAGCTACTAAACAAATTGGTCTCCTTATTTTTCCTTCACTGTCAACCTTAATGAACCATTCTTACATTAATATCTTATTCGTTTTTTGAACTACTGAATCACGGAATGACCATCTCAAGTTGCAACTGAATGACGTTTCGGTCTTTCGAAAGATTGAATGGAATATCTTTATTGGGGTATTATAATCGCCTAACCCACAATTTGGACACTTTTTGAGCAATGAGACAATAAATATTTTAGCTTTATTTTCTCCATATCTTTTATAAGCTTATTTTAGTCTATGTGGTGCTTTATGTCTATTGGAACTCATTAACTGTTTTCTTAATAATATTCCATTTTATTTGCGAATAAATACAATTGAAAATACATGTTGAATGGTTACGAGCAGGCATAAATGGGAGCCATTATTTTGTTTGGAGACGCTTAGATTGCCTACCTTTCGGTTCATGAGGTGACACGTCCAGCAAAGCCAATTCGCTTTTGCATCGATCGATCCGCCTAAGGTGCAGAAGGAAACGGTCGATAATTATGCATTAGTGCGTGCATGCAAAAGCGGGCATGTTTGCCTAGCTACGCCTGCTGTCCTTTTGACTACTTGCCCAGCTTCCCATTTGTCTGTTTGTTTGTATATATAAATTTATTGGTGTATTTATTTATTCATTCATTTGTTTATACTTGTATGCATTTTTATATGTTAACGAATATCTCTTTATCCGCCTTTCTATCTGTATTCCTAAAATTCTATTTTTCCGTCTTTCAAAGTGTATATTCGTATATGTATATAGCTGTATGTCTGTCGGTCTCTTTCTACTTCGATGCAGTTATATCTGCCTTACTGTTTACTTGTCTGTCACTTATGTCACCGTAACTTGATTAGAATTTCCTTCTTTGAACGGATTGTCCCGGGACTTCCAAATGTCTCTAAAAATTGTATGCCCTCCTCAATTAATGGGATCAATTGCCATCCTCTTGATGAAACTCCAGGTCTGCAATAAATGCGTCCTAGGTCTTGGTTGCTAGCACTCATGTGCGCAACTCAGATGCATCCACTCACCTGTGTAGTCATGTCTGCATTCATTTTCACTTAATATCGCAGTCCTCCAGCTAAACAGTCAAAGCCGTCATACACTTTGGCCGACGGTTCGTGGAAGCAGATGTACAAATCAGGTCTGCTGTAGCAACAGGCTTAGGCCTATCTATTCCTGTGCCTGGTAGGAGATGAGTGCGCCGACACCTGCAATGGGGCAGATGAGAAGCCGAAGGTTCAACATGGCCGAGGACTGCCATTTCCTCAAAAGCCCATTCTGTCCGCCTCGGGGGGCGCCAGTTCCGACGACTGGTTTTCCTATTCCGCGACCAAGTGAAGATGACATTTCGGCCTTTGCAGCGAAGTTCACTTCATTGCGCATTCCAACGAGGTCATCTTCGTCTCCAGGCGGGACTGTAGTTTAGAGCCTTTTCAAGTCGCCCATAGGGATTCCACCGGAAAACGCAGTGGAAACCGATTTGGCTCAACCACAATCAGATTACTAATTGGTTGCTTGGCCTTGGATTTTGCATTTCGTATGTAACGTTGAGAGGAAAGGACTCATAACTCTGTCTGACCGGAAGCTGAGAGAGGATTGCCTTGCAATTGTGACCGTTGCTTTGTCTGAATGAGTTCTCGGTGCACCGTCTCCAGCCTCGATCCTACCGCCCCGATTTCTCATCTGTTCTCTCCTGGCAGGCATTGTCAAGACTTAAGCATTCTTTAACGTACTTTAACATCATTGGCTCCGTGGATGATGATGTCTTCACGCTCTGGTGGTGCTTTCGGCTAATTTAATAACCTTACAAACGAAATGAGAGGTCTATTGGTGCGAAACAATTAGGGGTCTCGTTGAAATCCAGCTTTACTTCATACTTGCAAAAATTCCATCCACATCTTGAGGAGCAAGCGATTGTTACACTCAAGGAATCCTTGCAGTCTATAAAAACGGCCCCGTTTTGTGCGGGACGAAACGGCATGCTTGCCTGAGCGGAACTCCGCCGCTGCTTACGCTCTCAATTTTCTGTTTTACCCGATCTCAATTATAGCCTTCGCCACTATCTACTTATGAGTAGCAAGTCTGTTTAGACGAGCCGAGTTTGTCAGCGGGACTCAGGCCAATTCAGGTCTGATTATCGATCGGAGAGCACGCCTGACGTCTGGCCTCCTCTATTTGCCCTGATATTGCCATCGTGTTCGCGCACACGTTGCACACACTGGCTGAGGCGAGACGAGTTCAAATCACACACTTACGCTCGTGTGTGCATCGGTGATGCACTTTCGTCAGTCTCGAAAGCTCCCAGCCAATCCGAGCACGGCTCGGGCATGCAAGCCTGCCGATAGGCCTGAAAGCAGCAATAGATGACAGTTGCTCTCTGCAGCCGGATTGGCCCGACTCTTGCCTCCACATTCCAACTGCCTTGTCGGCCTCAGCCTCTCCCACTCTCCTCACCGCTGCACTCCAGTCCTGTTGCATCACTCTTGTCGCCCTCGTCACGGCCACATGCAGGTTTTTTCGCCAATTTATGTAGGGCCTCTCCGGGCAAGGTAACATGCCACGGCGACCGTCTTGCAAGTGATGCAGTCTGCTGCCGTTAGTGTTGCCCGTAGCCTTCCACGATCGGCCACAGTCTCCTGGCGTCCTGGTGTACACTCGAGGAGAGAGAGGAAAAAGACTGGCAATCCCAAAGAAACCGGTTCGTACAGGCATCCGATGCACTCGGCCCCAGGGGCTGCCCGTTGCCCGCACTCACGGTCATCGGACGATAAAGTGCATGGGCTTTTTTCACGGAAGGAGGTGAATTGTTGTTAGCACTTGGTTGGTTGTTGGGGCATTCGGTTGGCGTCGTTGGGTTGTCGAGGCGAGGGAGCGGTTGCGAATGCTTATTATTGGGCCGAGAGAAACTTGGCTCGGTTCGAGTTTAGGATATGTACAGTCTTGAGGATGGTGGTCTCTTTAAAGGCATGAGATGCGAAGAGAAGTCGGCTTTCAAGGAGACTCTTGCTTCACAATTGTTGAGCTGACTTCCATTTCGAGTGAAAGTGTTCGGGCAAGAGATTCGAAGGTCGATGCCACCAGAAGACGACAGCGGATTCCTCTCGATCGGCTGTCGATTAGTTCTGCTGCAACATTCTTGTCGACGTTGTTTCCGAGGTGATCTCCTTCGATTCCGGTCAAAACGT